TGTTACTTAGGTTGTCAGTTTGGATTTCGGTCATTCACAGTAACATGCACATCATTTACATAATAACCTCATCAGGACGTATATTTCATACTTTGCCTAAATAGCATCCGGCATTATATAGTATAATGCAGGATGCATTTCGCAATTATCGATGCATTTTCGTATCCATTCATTTTCGTAATTATTTTGGTGAAACTAAAAATAAAATATTGTTAAATGGTATGGTAAAGTGCTAATTATATTATGTGAGATAAAATTTGGTTTATGTTGTAGAATTTTCCAATTTTGTCATGATATTTTAGAGCTTGGTAATAATACCATTTATTTGATAAAAATTACTTTTCAGTTTCGTGTTTTTTTCTAAACGTGTGGTAATACGGATTATAATTTTGAAAGCCAAAATTTTCAGTTTACCGTTAAAGTATGAACGGAAAAATTACAAAATCAATTATTTAAATTCCATGTATTTTTGTTATAATAATCACAATTATTTTTTTTTTGCCTGAAATGTTATGACTACTAGTTTTACTAGAATTTTTTGCCTCTATGTATGTCAATAGTAGAACTTTGAAAACTCTTAAATTTTAATTCTTAGTTCTATAAACACAGACCTACAAATTGTTATACTTAAAATAACTGTATGAAAACAAAGTAATGAAATTTTAAATTTAACTGATCGTTCTATTGCCTAATTTCTTTTGAAATGAAAACTCTTATAGATATTATATATATGAACTCGTATAAGCACGAAAAACTTGATTCTAACTCTTTAAAGTACGACAAAAAAGCTTTTCCTTAAATCAATAAAAATAAATCTTGGAGAAAAAACAATGAAATTTTGAATCCTATTTGACTTTTTAATTGCTTAATTTCATTTAAAACAAAGCAGTTTTTGTTTCAGTTTTTTAGGAAAATTTTAAAAGTCATTCAATTTTTTAAGAGAATGTTATTATAAATAATTGTACTGTTTAATCTAAAATCATTGCTCAAAATAATATTTTCAGTAAAATATTCCACGAAAGGTATAATTCTTAATCTTTGAATTCTTTTGCTTGTTAAAAATCTCCGTGTAACGCGACGAGTTTTAGTCAGGTATTTATTTGTTAAATCTTCCTATTAAATCTGACTGACGCAAGCCAAATGATAGGGTTCCTGGCAAATGACAACGAAAAGTCTTAATTTGAATATTGGCAAAAAGGAAGATGGGGATAAAGCTAAAAATATCACTGGTCGGCGCGTTCCGTGAGAGGGCGCTTGTTTTAGATAAAGTCTTCTGAACTGAGAATTCAGTGAGTGTGTTCTTATATTGCTTGTTCGCTATCTGGACAACAGGTTGTGTAATACCGGAAGAGAGCTGAAAAACGTATTGTGGCATTGTTTATCGTTAGCGCTTTCTTAGAGTTGATTTAATTTATTGAGAGAAGCGGTTAAACTATGATTTTCATTTAAGAGAATTAAATCTAATTTTGATTAAAGTTTTAGAACTTTTCCTTAAGTTCTAAACTTTGAATAAACTTGCAATGGAAGGAAGATTTTGTGAGTAAGAAATAAAAGCAGATCGAAATTCTATTTTATATTGAAAAAAAAATCAACATGAATTTATCAGTTTAAAATTACACCCGAATTTCTTTTGCGTTGTAAAGTAGTTTCTAAATACAATATCGTTGTTGGTATTTTAAGAACTGTTAAACGTGTTTTTATAATTTTATTGATGCAACGATTAATATGTTAAGTGCTAAATTAAAATCATTAAAAATGCTCTATGGAGATATATTTGTAGAGCTTGAGCCGCATTGTAATGTAAAGACATTTGATTTAATAAGAATAAGAATTTATTAAAATTTGCAAATAACTTTTAGTTTTTCTTAAAATTTCTCTTTTCGAAATGCTATTAGCAAGAAGAATAAGAATAAATCATGAAAATTAACTGAAATTTATTTCAATAGTAGTTATGGTATCGATAATTATTCATCTTACTTGCATTTTTTACATGCTTTTTAATTCAGTCAGCAATAATTTGATACGTTTAGCTGTACTGGCACCTGGAGATGAAAACCAGCCTTTCGCCATGCACAAAGTGGTACCAGCAGTACTGTACGCCGTACAAAACATTGAAAGAAAAGGGGGATTTAAAATGGAAGTCTTATACCGAGATACGGAGTGCTCATCTACTTATGGACCTTTAGCAGCTTTCGAACTTTACAATTCTGGAGCTGTAGATGTTCTTTTAGGTCCATTATGTCCCTATGTGTTAGCGCCAGTAGCTAGATATTCTGCTGTTTGGGACTTGCCAATTCTAACTGCTGCAGGACAGAATGACAACTTCGATATCAAGGAACCACATTACAGATTATTAACGAGAATGAATGGCTCCTATTCTCAAATTGGTTTAATATTTCTCCAAGTCCTGAAGAAGTTTAATTGGAAAGTTGTGGCTCTTATATTTCATAACTATGATGACCGCTCTCTTGGAAATTCTGATTGTTATTTCACGTTGGGAGCCGTTTACACAGCACTGGGAAGAAAGTCGTTTTACAAAGACTTTGATGAAACTAATCCAAATATGGATTATAAAGAGCTGCTAAAAGAAGTTTCGCAGCATGCTAGAGGTGAGTTAAAAAAATTTCTGAATTTTAGAGAGCTATCTATCACACTTTAACTGTTTTTTTAAGCAATTGAAGATTTGACATGATTTCAATGCAAAACAATTATTATTTCGCTTTTAGCTCGATTCAAGAATTTTTCAGGGAATAAAAATTCAAAAACTTAGAAATGTATTCTTAGATAACAAAACTAAAGAGTTTATCGCATATACTTTGTAAATTAGCCAATCTGCATTGACATACTTTCTCATTGAAATTATGGAGAAAATATTGTTTCTCTATAGAGATGGAGTAATTATATTGTCAATATTCAAATACGAAATTTGTCAAAGGGAAAAGTACTAAACTTTACAGGCTTGAAAACATTTCCTTCATTGGCAAGGCTGGTTTATGTTACACAGTTTTAAAATAACTGCTCTAAATTTACAGAAATACCTTATCTTGCAAAAATAAACAATCATATACATTCTAGATCTCGATAAATTCTACCATCTGGCAAATTCCTAAACGAAATAGTGAAAAAAAAGGATGCAAAAATCATATTTTAAAAACCAAGATAAGTTTTCTTGTCTTACAAAAATGTGTGGTTTATTAACATAAATTGTAAATTTAGTTCTCTTTAAATATCACATTATGATTATATACAATATATTTACATAACAGAAATCGATATGTTTTATTTTTCTAGTTCTTCAAAGAAACAATATAGAAGTTATGGTCTTATTGGGAAATGCAATTATTTTGCTTATTATTCGATTTATAAACTTATCTGGGAGTCAAAAAGAGTATTTTGAAAAATTGAGAGCGCATCCTTGGTAGATAAACTTGTCAGATATACGTACACAAATTAAGGAACTAATGTATATACCTTATAAAATTGTTTTACATCATAAGCAATGTATCATATTCTAGATAATGATATATTTTATGCTCTGAATAACTTTACAACGAGAAAATAAGGAAAACATGTGTCTATTTATAGGAAGAAGGCAGCTATTTCTGCTTATTACTTGATTTTAAAACTTGTGAGAAAGTATTGCATTTTGAAATACTGAAAATGTATATTTTTTGGAAAAGCTGCACAGTTTACATTATATAAAAATACAAAACTATTCTACCTTTATTTTCCAATATATATGTCAGAAAATTTATTGCATTCTTCTTTATTCTTTATATGCCTGTCGGTACATTTGGTTTCTAACATGGGCCAACTCTCAGAAATATTGCATTCTGAGTATTGATATATTTTAAGAACTGTAAAGTTTTCAACGAAATAAAAGTCAAAACAGTTTTCTTTTCATTGAAGAGAGAATTACAATCTTTATAGTTTGATTAATACCCTTTCTAAATGGCAAAAACAATACTTTAAAACCTAAAAATGAATTCTTAGGGGAAGTTGAATTGGCTTATGGTGCATAGAATTATTGAATAACAGCAGAAATATTTTACATTTTATAATGGGTTGACAGCAATGTTCAAAATCTTATAGATTGTAAATGGGATTTTTTTCTCTTATTTATCATTAAAAAATTAGAAAAATGTAAGGTATACAAAAATATTTGGTTGTTTTCAAAAATTGCTTAAATATGTTAAAGTATTTTTTATGTAATTATACGAAAAATTAAAGACTTATTTCTCTCTAGAACAATAAAAAAAATATTTTTTAAAAAATAAAATTACTAATAAAGAGCTGGTATAAAAAGTTGTCTTTTCAAGAGCAAGTTAATTTTAATTTCATTAATTTTTTAACAATACAAAATAAATATAATCGGCTTAAGTCTGACTTTTTTTATATAAAGAAATACGTAATACGTCTGGAAACGAAAAGATATTATTTAAAGGGATCAGAATTTGACCTGCCCATTTATACTTTCATTTTTAAGTAAAACATGAAAAGGAAGTTTTAATTGAAATATAATAATAAAAAGCATATTTTTTATTCATAATAACAAAATATCTAATGATACTGTATTTTTTTATCTATTTGAATTACGTGATATTGTCAGCACTGTGTCAAAACCACTTATTTGGCTTAGGTGCAAATGGGCAGATTCGTTGTATAGGTTTGGTGTGAAATAAAAGATTAACCAATTAATAATTCACTACACAAAAATTTATTTATTGATTACAATAATAAGTATTATTATAATGATAAACGGGTGAAGAAACAAATTGTTCTACGAATGTGATAAGAGATAATATTTAATAATAAATGTATTATTTTGTAAAAATGTATTATTTTAAATAAATATATAGTAATGTATATACGATAATTTTGATATAAAAATACAAATTTATTAAATATATCGAACAGTTCTTATAATATTGGTTTTAACTTAACTAACGCATGGTAAACAATTCTGGTAAAATTATCATATGTCATGGTAATTGTCATTTCTGGAAAAAAAAATCATTATGTTGGTAACCAAAATATATGGTATTTAAACTATTCACTTGGTATCTTTTCTTTCATATGGTAACAGATTACTGGAATTTTGGCTTTTAAAATTATATTTATTTCCATACATTTAATAAAAAGTAAACTGAATTATGAAACTGAAAAGTATATTTAACCGAATGATTGATTTTTTCGTTATACTCTGAGCTGTCATGTTCAAATTACAAGTTTTACCACATGTATTATATTTTATCACATATTATAAAATTATATTTCATTGTTATTTGTACCAAAACCATCACCGAAGCGCTTCGGTAAAAAAATTCTGAGATTTTTTGAATTCCCCTAGAGCCAGAAATAAGGTAAATTTTACCAAATTCTTTTAGTTTTGACCATAACTTTTTCTCGGGGTATAAATAACGTATTCAGCACAAATAATATAATTTTTAACATATTTTGGGTTAAATGTGTTAAATATTCCAACTAACTTCTAAATGAAAGAAATTTTCTGAAAATTTTTAATTTTCGAGTTTATTTTAATTATCGAGTTATAAATCTTTATTTAAGTGTAGCTGTCGCATCTTACAGTCTCTTTTAAAAATATACTACTTTGCCAAAACGTAAATGCATTAATTTCGAATTAATATTTCTTATATACACTTGCTTGAGCAAAAGAATTCTGAAAGTGAGTAAAACATTTTACTTTTAACTTTAAAATTTAGATTTATGTGTCTGCGCATAAATGTTGTTATCACTACAAAATTTTCTCAAATGACTATAACAAGCTAGCTACTTTTCTTAAAATACCAACTATAAATGATAGATTAATCAAATAAAAACAAAAATATTTCTATTAAAGCTCCAATAAGCATCTAAAATAATTATATTAGAACGTTTTTAATTTTATACATTTGGATATCGAGACTACTGGAATAATTACCAAGTTTTATTTTTATTCGTAGTAATTACCTAGAATTTAATGCCTTTATTTTAACTAATTTAATTACTTTACTGAAATATCAGATAAACATAATCTTAATTTTGTTATTATTATTTCTCATTAGAAGAGCTAGTACTAAATGAACATATACAATTTTGAAATCTTTATGTAATTTTTTACCATTTAAATTAAAAAAATAACAATATGCATAAAAAAACGATTTTCTTAACGTTTAACTGAAAAATGTTAAGAAAAGACCAAAGGTTAAAAATATAATGGAATTTTCAGTGTTTTTAGAGACCCGTAATACAATAAAAAGATGATATTTACCAGAGCTCGCTTATTAAAATGAATAAAAAAAATCCCACTAGACATTTTCTAAAGCATTTTTCTCTTTTAATTTTTTAAAAAAAAATCTTCTTTTAAAAAATAATTAATGGTTTCTCTAAAATATATTTGCTTCAAAGAAATAATGCTAAAATTATTTTAGAAATAACACAAAAGATTGAAAATGGAATGACACATAAAATAAATAAAGATACAATATAAACTTTACTGTCTTTATTGCTTTGCGCAGAAAATTGCAAAAAAAAGCTAGGCAGGAAATAGAATCTTAGTAATTTAAATTCTCTTAGGAGAAGTAAAAAAGTCAGATCATCTAAAGTTTGAATCAGCAAAAATACATTGTTGCTGTTTCTACTGACACTTAGAAGCCAGGTTTAGCCTGAGCAATGGCTTTTTAGCCTGAGCCAGGCTAAACAGCCATTGACCATTGCGAATTAATTGCGGGTTAGTTCCACCAGAAAGTCCTCCACGAAGGCAAATTTCTCTCAACACTTGATCCAGGAGTTCCCTTGTCTTCTGGACTGGGTTCAAAATTACAGGGCTACGTTGTTGAACATTAGTAGTCGCAAACCCAAAAATTTGGTCAGCTGCTCAACGGCGGCTATAAAATAAAACAAAAATCACTGCCCAACATTTTGAATTCAAAGGGGGAAATGAAAAAAAAAAAGAATCATTCAAAGCTTGATCAATAGTATCATTCAATAGAACCAAAATATGAATCTATTAAAAAATTATCCTACTCAGTGTTATCGTATTATGTAATCACTGAATATTAATTTGAACTCAAAAGTGGAAGTACAGAATGTCGAATTATCCAAATATTGAATTACAAAATAAGCATTGATAAAATGTTACAAATAAAACAATGGCATTTAATTACATTTAACTAAGATATTTACTAAGAAACAAATGGTTAATGGTAAGAAAAACTGATAAAAATGATTTTATGACTTTCTATAAATTAGAAAATATCATAATAAATTATAATTTTATAAACACACTGTAAATATAAATGTATAGGGGAAGCTGATGATAAGTTACGTTTAGAAATTGTCCAGAAGATTGTTCTAATGAGTGTTTTTTTAGAAAAATATCACAATTTCTATGCTGATTATAGTATGTTTCTGCATGTTGTAGTGTTATTACATGGAAATTATTGAAACAGTTTTATTCGGAATTATTAATAAGGATCATCAGTCAAATGATAGTTTCGAAAAGTAACCGTTTGCTCAAACCAACTGAAATGTCACATTATTTTTAAAATATTTCTTTTATTTTATATACATGCTAGAAAAATATTTTATAAGTTTAATAACCAATAAA